AGGATTGCCCAACCTTCCTTCCGAGGAGTGGCTGGTGGGTTTGAACCGCCAGCCTTCTGGTTAGCAGTCAAGTGCTTTAGCCACTATGCTACCAGAGCATGGTATTGTCTACAAATAGTCCTTTCCCCTCAAAAAAGGTTTCCTACAGCCATAATCTCTCCCCCCTCTAATCACCTACATAATAGAAAATGCTCAGCTGCCTTCTCTCTCTGCCACTTAGTTAGCTATATGTCCTTGAGCAAATTAACCTTTGAGTTCCATTTTCTCTGTAAAATGAAGGCAATAATATTTGCTTGCAGAGTTGTTGTGAAGATTAGAAATAACATACTTAAAGTTCACAGCACAGTCCCTGGCATGCTGGAAGCCCTCAGTGTGCTCTGGCTGCTACTGCTGCTGCCTCTGATGATAATGTTCTTAAGGCTGTGTCTCTGCAGTTGAGTACGTGTGTGTAACCCCACCCAAAGGTTCTCTGCAACTGTGCAGAATTCGCTGAAAATACCAGTATCAGGTGTTTGTTTTGTTTTTTTCTTTTTTTAAGCATAATACTTAGCCTATACAAACTTAAGGGGCTTTGGTGTCATAGTGGATAAGGCATCCGGCTGCTAACCAGAAGGTCAGCAGTTCAAACCCACCAGCCACTGCATGGAAGGAAAATGGGGGCCATCTACTTGTGTAAAGATTTATAGCTTCAGAAACCCAATGGGGGTCACTATGAGTTGGAATCGTCTCAATGGCAGTGAGTTTTGTTTTGTTAATGCAAAACTTGGCTGTCAAAACAATTGTTAAAAGGAGGGATGAGAGAATATGCAGTTTGAATTTGTTTGTTTGTTTGTTATATCCCTCTTCTGTTTTCATCTAGGACCTTGCTAGATTTTGTTGTTGTTGTTTGTTTGTTTTCCCATTCAGTCATATGATGTAAAATAATGCAGCAAATGGTTAAGCACTCAACTGCTAGCCAGAAAGTTGGCAATTTGCACCATGCGGGGCACTAGGAAGACAGGCCTGGCTATCTGCTTGTCAAAGGTCACAGCTTTGAAAACCCTATGGAAAAGTTCTACTGTGCACACATGGGGTCAACATGAGTAGGAAGTGACTTGATAGCAAGTATGAACAAGAATAATGTAATGATTTGTCTATGTATGTACATATATGTATGTATCTGTGTGTGTGAGAGAGAGAAAATTCAAGTGCACACACAAGCAAATGATGATTTATTGGCTGTATTCATCATAGAAGTAGCTCTGGTGGTGCTGTCGTTAAGGCATGTGGCTGCCAACCAAAAGGTTGGTGGTTCAAACCCACCAGCTATACCGCAGGAGAAAGATGAGGCAGTCTGCTTCTATAAGGATTTGCAGCCTTGGAGATGCTGTAGGGAAGTTTTACTCTGTCCTATAGGGTCACTAAGGAGCTCTGGTAGCATAGTGGCTAAGACACTTGCCTGCTAACCAGACGGCTGGCGGTTCAAACCCACCAGCCACTCCTTGGAAGGAAGGTTGGGCAATCCTACTTCCGTAGTGATACTGCCTCGGAAACCCAAGGAGGGGTCGCTATGAGTCGGGGCCGACTCGACGGCACATAACAACAACAACAACAACATAGGGTCACTATGAGTTGGAATCAACTCAGTGGTTGTGGGTTTGGTTTGCATTTATTCATCCTATACATTGTGGAGGAGTTGGATAGGCCATTTCGAGTTTTCTTCCCCTGGAATTTGAAGATGAGGCTACAAACAGAATTCCCTTAATTCCTCTTTCTTTAGGATAATAATGTGTAATGGATGCAATACCTCTCTAGACAGCACTCCTGCCAAGTGCTCTCTCCCTGTTGTGATGTCACCTTGGCTGTATGTGCGGGGGCCCAGGGGCATGTAAGAGCACAGGCCTCAAACTCAGCACTGACAACTGTGGTAACAGTTGGGATACGGGTGCAGCAAGCCACAGCATCTGCACGGCACGCGAAGGGAACCTCTTTCTAACCTGGATCAGCTCAGAAAATCCCTGCTACTGCTCTGGGGGTTACTACAAGATTAGGGAAAATGAGGTACCCTGACTATCCTCTTAGAACAGATTAGGCACCTCACAGGCTGCTGTAGAACTACCTTACCCTCTCAGAGGTCCTCAGATATAGGAAGTAGTTGGAATCAAGACTTTGAATAGTGCAGGAATGGATCCCCTGTAGAGAGGGTTTTCCCATTTTAAAACTCCAGTTCCCACCCAGTACTGAATGCTCCACAGGGGGAAAAAAAATGCCCTACATTTCCTCTTTTAGGCCTCATGATTTATCAAGTTGTGTGGTGGTAAGTAATATGAAATTAATAGCCAGTCTCTTGGAGCCGTGGTGGCACAGTAGTTAAAGCACTTGGCTGCTAAACTTAAGGTTGGTGGTTCAAACCCACCAGTTGCTCCATGGGGGAAAGGTGAGACACTGTGCTTTTGTGAAGACAATACAGCTTTGGAAACCCTGTGGAACAATTCTACTCTGTCCTATAGAGTTGCGATGAGTTGGAATCAAGTTGATGGAAATGGGTTTGGATTTTTGTTTTAGCCCATCTCTTTATTTTTGAACTGGAAAATTATAGTGCAAAATGCTTTAAATATTTTATTTTTTCTTTTTATTCAAAAAGAAATAAGTGGGTTTTGCCATTGCTGCTGCTGCCGCCTTTCTCTCGATGAAGTGAGGTTGTGTATCTTTTTTTATGCTTTTAGGAAGTTAATTAAATATGTATTAAAGTATAAGAATTTGTTTTGGAAAACTTCAAGGTTCTTGTAACGTTTTTAATTAAATTCTGCTGTTACGCGGGTAAGGTATTTAGCCTCTAAGTATATAAAAGCGATTAAGTGAGACTTGTTTTCTGTCAACGGGAAGGTGAATTAAGAATATAATTTAGATGTGAGTTGAAAACAGTCAAATGTTCTTCCATGCTTTTGTTCAGTTTTCTATGAGTTTATTAGCTGTAATAAGATAGGACTACTTGTCATCAACTTCAAAAAGATATATAGTGCTTAGTAACCTGCACAACACTTTACAGCCCATTAAAGCCTAAGAACATGACTATACTCTGACGATGCTGTTAAAAGAAATACATTCATTCCTGTAGTTGCCAATTTCCTTACACCTCCAATTAAAAAAACAGCAAAGAAGAAGCCTAAAGGTTAAAATCCTTGAAAATATATTAAGTTAACTTGTGAAATATGGTTTCAGCCCATTTGGAATTCTTTCTCAAAAATTATTTCTTCTCAATGACATTTTTAAGGATCATTATAAGCTTTGAATGTTTATTGTATTTATAATTACAATGTAGAGTTATAACTTGAAATATACTATAAACTTATCTCTTAGGTACCATTTGTTTCTATCATAAATCTAATAATCATAAGAATTTAAAACACTGGGTTGTTTTTGTTTTGTTTTTTAACAGGAAACAAACTTGTATTCCACATCTTAAACCAATTTAGTGATGGAAATAATTTTGTGGCACAAATGACAATATTCTTTTGAAACCTTTATATGTTTCATACTAATGGACTAATAAAACCTTAGAAGGAAAAGATAGATTTGTAAAATTCATGAGCTATAATAATTTTCTTTGCCTTGGCTGTTCTTTTTCTAGGATTTACTAACCAGACACAAAGTGTTGGTAGCCAACTTCTTAGAACAAAATTATGACACTGTAAGTAGAAATTACTTTAAAGAATTTACCTCATTTTCGCTCCTTCTCTCTCTACCTCTTACATCTATAAGTACTTACCACTATTTATTATCCACATGGAAACCATCTATACCCATAATTTGCCAATTTATTTTGAAGCCAAGTCATCAACAAACTTTATAGAAAATTGAGGATGACAGGAGGTCAAGGCTTTCTTGTTTTTTCTTGTACTCTGCAGCTCCAAGAAGCAACTAGAACCTTCCTACTTTGATCTTGAATTAAGAGGACCCATGTAACCCTTAGGAACCCTAGTGGTGTGGTGGTTAAGCTCTCAGCTTCTAAGCGAAGTGTGGGTGATTCTAAACCCCCAGCCATTCCATGGGAGAAAGATGTGCTTTGCTTCTTCTACAAAGATTTCCAGCCTTGGAAACCCTATGGGGCAGTTCTACTCTGTCCTATAGGGTCACTATGAATCAGAATTGACTCATTGGCAATGAGTTTGGTTTTTTCATATGTTACCCTTAAGTGGCAGTAAAAACAAAACAAAACAAAAAAACCTAAACTCACTGCTGTTGAGTCAGTCCTGACTCACACTAAATGGAAGAGTCCCTACCCTTGTTAAAAAAAAATATTTTGACTTGGTTGATAATTACTTTTATCTGCTAGTAAAATTACCCAAGTATTTCTCATCTCTGACAGTGAGTCCAGGCATCCCCGGGTGGCACAGACAGTTAAGTGCTGGAGTATTCGACAGGGTGGTGGCTTGAACCCACCAGAGGAACCTTGAGAGACAAGCCTGGCACTGTGCTTCCACAATTATATTTTTATATATTTTTTTACAAAGAGAAATGTATTTTTGATGATGACTTCATGCCTTCCCAGTTGAATACAGGATGGGTAAAGAGTTGGGCACACAATAGGAATGACAAGTGGTGGCCAACAAATACAAATGTTGTTGTTGTTGTTATTTGCCGTCGAGTCGGCCCGACTCATAGCGACCCCTCCTTGGGTTTTCGAGGCAGTATCACTACGGAAGTAGGATTGCCCAACCTTCCTTCCGAGGAGTGGCTGGTGGGTTTGAACCGCCAGCCTTCTGGTTAGCAGTCAAGTGCCTTAGGCACTATGCTACCAAATAGTAATCATCAAAAAGTCTCTGAACCATTTTACTCTAGACAAAGCTTGTAGTATACTCCTGGACTGTGGGAAGGTAAAAGGGGAGTCTGATAGTATATGACCAAATCTGGGATATCATCTACTAATTTTTTCCTGTAGAACAAAGGAGGTAAGCATGCTATGCAATGCTTCGCATTCAGGAAGAATATGCAATAATTTGAGAGGCTGTCAATTCATTTTCTTTGGCTCCCTATTTACCTAATTTTATCTTTGTATCTAAATGTGACTTCTTGTGTAATTTGGTGATTTCGGCTAATTTCACAGATACTGATGCCTGTTTCACTGACCTGAACACTAACTTTGAACTCCTGCTCCTTCAGACATATCATACCTTTGGGTCTTTACCAGGTTTAACAGTAAATCATGAAGCTGGAGCATGTAACTTATGGCTCTAAAATAGTGAAACGGGCATCTTGGGGAATCAATCATACCTCATACATATATTTGCGTTTTATTGTTAGAATTAAGATTTATCACAAGATTTGTCTGATAAATTTTATGGCCCATAAAATCCTTCTTGTGTTCTGTGACGTTTAGGATAAATAATAACAATAATAAATAATCATATAAGAATATAATTACTGTGACCTTAATAGAGAGATACATGTGTTTTATATGTATATATACATCTATATATACATCTATACATCTCTCTATATATACATCTGTACATCTCTTTATATATATACATCTATACATCTATCTCAGGAGCTCTGGAGCGTAGTGCCTAAGGCATTTGACTGCTAACAAGAAGGTTGGTGGTTCAAACTCACCAGCCACTCCGTGGTAAAAAGACTGGGCAATCTACTTCCATAAAGACCCCCAAAGGGGTTGCTATGAGTCAGAATCAACTGACCAACCCCAAAGGGGGTTGCTATGAGTCAGAATCAACTCAATGGTAGTGAGTTTTTTTGTTTGTTTGTTATACATCTATATATATACATATATAAACCAAAACAAACACACTGCCATCGAGTTGGATCTGACTCACAGTGACCCCTTCTTGGGTTTCTGAAGTAGTATCACTATGGAAGTAGATTGGCCAACTATTCTTCTGAGGAGTGGCTGGTGGGTTTGAACCACCAGCCTTCTAGTTAGCAGTCAAATGCCTTAGACACTACACCACCAGAATTCCTTATATACATATATACATCTATCTATCTATCCATCTATCTATATATATATACACATCTCTCTCTTTCTTTCTCTCTCCCTCCCTCTCTCTCTCTCTCTCTCTCTCTCCATATATATTACTTTTCACTCTCTTAATTCTCAGTAATTATTGTCAATGTGCATAACTTGCCCTCATCACACACACTTGCACACATATAACTCACCTTTGGTGCTCTGAGAACCTGAAATATTTTCTACCCTCTCAGGCCTCTGTGGGACTTACTTCTGCCTTAGTGTCTCTGAGAGTCTGTATACTAGATGCAACCCTAGCTACCACATTAGGAAACAGGCAAGTCCCAAACCCCAGTGGCTCCTAGCTTCCAATGGTAGTAAAAGTGCTTCAGAGAGGCCAATTGGAATTAGCATGGCCACCATGTAGAAGTTGCCTCATTCCTGCAATTTGTTCATACTATAAGTTTGACAGCTTTGGTTCTTTTCCATAAGGAATTTCCAAGTGAAGTCTTAATGTATTTAACTTTTTTTTCCAATTATTCATGGAGTCATAGCTACCACCAAAAAAAAACCCCAATGCCATAGAGTAGATTCCAACTCAGAAAGACACTACAGGACAAGAGAACTGCCTCACAGGGTTTCCAAGGCTGTAATTTTTGCAGAAGCAGACTTCTACATCTTTCTTTCACAGTTTGGCTGGTGGGTTGAAACCACTAACCTTTTGGTTGACAGTTGAGTGCTTTAACCATTATACCACTAGAGCTCCTTTCATAGCTACTAGCAAGGCTACTAAACAAACAGATTTATTTTAAATGGGATAAAATGGGTTATCTTGCAATTTTTAATAGATATTATATTCCAAATGATTTGTTGGAAAGACTCACCAAAAACCAACCAAACTCACTGCCATTGAGTCGAGTCAATTCGACTCATAGTGACCCCTCCTTGGGTTTCTGAGGCAATATCACTATGGAAGTAGATTCCCCAGCCTTCCTTTTGAGGAGTGGCTAGTAGGTTTGAACCTCGAGCCTTCTGGTTAGCAGTCAAATGCCTTAGAGACTATGCCACCAGAGCTCCTGGAAGGACTCACAATTTTCTACTTGATTTCTAATTTGCAGAACTCAAATGAAATAAGTAAGTATGTCTCTTACATCACTTGACCACTCTACCCCCAGTATCTTTATGTCTAAATGAGGATGGGGAAATGGCGAGCCTAGCAGTGGTAAGCACCTTGGCTTACATATATCAGATAAAAGGCATAGCAGCCAGGCTGCACTGAGTTAGAGGGTTGGGAATTTACTTCTGAAGTAAGACAGTTAGCAAACCTAGTACAAAGAAATCACTCTGTTTTGTTTGTTTTTAAATTTTTATTGTGATTTGGGTGAAAGTTTACAGAGCAAATTAGTTTTCCATATAGCAGTTCATACACATTTTGTTTCATGACATTGACTGCAATCCCCACAATGTAACAGCTCTCTTCCCACTTCCTCCCTGTAGTTACCTTTCCCTGTGTCCTTCTTTCCTATGCATTCCTGTACCCTGAGCTATCTCCCTGTGCAAATACTGCCCTTCTGTTCTCCCATGATTGATCATTCTAAGGAATGCATCTACCTGATGTAAATGTTCACCCTATATGTCAGTTTATTGCTCGAATGCCGCTGCTGGTTTTGCACTTTAATGTTTTTCTTTTCACTAGATTTTTGAAGATTATGAAAAATTGCTTCAGTCTGAAAATTATGTGACTAAGAGACAATCTTTAAAGGTAATGACAAATTTCTTTAACATAGAGTTCTCATAAATTAATGTATGAAATATTCATGTTAGCAATTCATTGGCTTACTAATGGGTAAGTAAATACAAAACAAAGCATTCTTTTTGTTTTGTGACTTGAAAAGTATGTTTCATGTTATGGACTGTTCTTTATAGCAAAACAATAAATAAATAAACGCCCTTTAAAAAACACTAAACTCACTGCCGTCGAGTCCAGTCGGACTCATAGCGACCCCTCCTTGGGTTTCCAAGGCGGTATCACTACAGAAGTAGATTGCCCAACCTTCCTTCTGAGGAGTGGCTGGTGGGTTTAGCCACCTTGAATCCGTTTTGGAAGTAATAATATAAATAATAGTTACATGATAAAGAACCATCTATTTCTGTTAAGGAAGAAAATCAAGCCTAGGCTAACTTAAATAAAACCATAGCTCTCTCCTAGGAGATATTTCCTGGAAATAAAATTGGTTTTAGAGTGAATTTAAGATAATGAATTACTGTTTATAAGGAAGAATCAGTGAGGTTCTCTCATGGTTAATTTATGGTTTATCTTGAAACAAAGTACGCAGAAAGAAATGATCTTATGTCTTTTATACATCCCTGTAAACTAGATTTGATTGGGTGTTTTACAGAGGAACGGAGAGGAAAAAGTAACAATGACAAAATATGACACACAAAATGCAAAAATAAAATATTCCATCTAAGTTGTAAGCACAATAAGTGACAGATTCATAATACATTTATTTTTAATTGAGAGAGAAAACAACTTTCTACTGTGAAATGGGGTTTATATGGTTCAATTGTTATGAGACTTCATAACAATACTTGCACTTAGTGCTTAGCTCCCAGACTCGTAACACTTTGTTTTTCTGAAGACTATTTTTCTGCCATATTGCATTGCTGGGTCCCATTCCCTTAGCTTTCTAGTTAGTTGAGATTTTCCTGTAGGTCATGTCTAGTACCTTCTCCATTTAACATTACATTTACAACAAAGATTCTGAAATATGGAACACAGTCATCCCATAAGAGTTAAAAGAAGAATCTTTTTTTTAAAAAAAATCAACCCAAACAAACAGTCTAACAAGCAGAAGGCTATGTATTCTAATATACAAAACTTTGTTTTTCTGCCAAGAAATCTGCCAAGATTGCACTGAAACAGAATCTGGAAAGAAATTAAAAGATGATCATAGCTAAAGAAAAGAAGTCCACTCTAAATGATCTGTGAATAGCTTCTGTTAGTTGAACTATTGAGGGGTGTCAATGGTGAGAGGTAATAGGACATTTCATTTAGTCAACATATATTTACATACTTATATCCTAGACATTATGGTTATAGCCAAGAACAAAACGAAATCCCAGCTATATGGATCTTACATTCTGTTGGGGGAGAACAGACAGTGGACAAATAATCCAATATATAATTTTCAGGTAGTTATAAGTGCTAAAAAGAAAAGTCAAGCAGATTACAGGGCTAAAAAGTGATGACTAGTATGAGTCAGCAAGTGTGTGTGTGTCTGTCTGTCTGTCTGTGTATCCAAATGGCATTTACTATTTGAGCTTACATGATAACTAACAGATGCCTGATTACATCATACAGGCAGCCCAGTACAACAGTGCCACCCACATCTGTCTGTGTGGCCTTCCCTCCCTTGATAAAAACAAAAAACAAACAAACAAAACCCAAACTCACTGCCATCAAGTTGATTCTGACTCATAGCGACCCCCACTGGGTTTCCAAGGCAGTAAATCTTTGGAGAAGTAGATTGCCCCCTCTTCCTTCCAAGGAGAAGCTTGTGGGTTTGATCTGCCAACCTTCTGGTTAGCAATCAAATGCCTTAGCCACTGCAGCACAGAGCACTTTCCCTAATTAAAGGTGCCAGGAAACAGAAGGCAAGTTAGCTGCTGAGGGGGGTAGGACAGTGGCCAGAGCTACACCTCTGCCCTTCAGTGTCCTCCTCAGATATTTTAAAGAATAAGGATGATTTTGACAGATAATCATATATTGGCTGTTTCTCATCAAGCAATATATATGATGTTTGCAGTTGTGAAATATCACCCTTGTATTATTTTTGTGTGTTGGGATGATGACATTCACAGAACAATGCATCTGGCTCTAAATATACTCAGAGAACTAAAGGAAAACACAGACAAACAGCTCAAGGATATCAGGAAACAATGCATGAACAAAACAAGGGTTTGAAAAGAGATAGACGGCCTCAAAAGAAACCAAATAAAAATACTGGAACTGAAAGAGACAACAACTGGTTCTAAATATCACAACAACTTTAACTGAAGGCAGTAAATGAAATCTATTTTGTAAACTCACTTTACCCATGACTGTGACTTAGCTGTGAGTCTTTCCTCCTTGACCTGTGCCCTCACTATTCCAGCTTTACCTGGTTAAAGGAGAGGTGAATAAACTATTATCAGCCAGTCATTCAACACCGTTTATTGAGTTTGCCCTTTATGAAGAAACAGGCTATGAAAGAAAAAAAAAAAAAAAACACCTGCTGCTGTCTGCTGTCTGCTCTCCTAGAACCACCTTCTAGGTGAAGGCAATGTCATCAAGCCCAAGCTCTCCCACATCCAGAGAGCTTAAGAGCAGCTGAAGACAAGGATATATCATATTGCCACAGCTGTGTCTCTGAGTGTATTTACAAAGGGCTCCGCACAGACAAGGATTCCCCAGGTGGTACAAACAGTAACATGCTCCACTCGTAACTGAAAGGTTGGAGTTCATCCAGAGACACCTTGGAAGAAAGACCTGGCAATCTACTTCACAAAAATCAGCCATCGAAATCCCTGTGGAGCACATTTCTACTCTGACATGGGTTGCCACGAGTTGGGGTAACTCAACAGCAACTCCTCTGCACCTCTCCCTGCTCGTTCTTCCCAGCTGTCCTCTCATCCCACTGCTGACTTACCATTGCCCTCACCTCTTCCCAGAATATCTTCAGCTCTACCTTGTCCTGTTCTTGTAAAGTGCTTAGAGCTGAGCTTGGCCCATGCTAAGAACTATAGAGATTTGTTAAATAAATAATAACAACTTCTATGAGTAAATATTCCTCTCCTCATAATTATCCCCAGACTTCAGTCTCTGGAAAGTGTTGATCTATTCTAAATAAATAATTCTAAATATTCTAAATAATATTCTAAATAAATAATTGGGACTAGGGTATGGATTAGACTTCCAGGATGCATTTGTGTTTTTAGAACAGAAGCCTGCTAATCCAGTGAATGTGTGATTGTCAGTAAGTAATGCAAATTTTTTTTTGGAGAGGCAGCAAATAGAGGAGAGTAGGACACACTTTCACTGCTATCTGTGCTTGTCACCCCCACTGTCTGCCAGCCCAGCCTCCCTCCCCTTTCCCCTGCTTTCCCAGCTGTAGATGTCTGTGCTGTTCCCAGTGACTTGGCAAAGAACAGGCCCCCTTTGTGTCAGGTACTGAAACTCTTCTATAAGCTCTTCTTTTCCAAACTGAGTTTTCTTTCCTGTGTGCTAGCAGATGTCCCAGCACACCTGAAAGGCATCTTTCCTGTTTTTTATTCATTCACCTGGACATACTACATTGGCTATTTCCTTTATTGTTGGTTATCTTGCAAACATTTGAGTTACAATATGGTAAAATGGAGAACTGGTTGGATAGCTGGGGAAAAAAAAAGTGATAAAACAAATCTAGGAATGCAGAAATTGTTAAAATGGTTATTTGCAATTTGGTTTCTTTGGATGCTAGATTAAAAGACATTCCTCAAATGGTCTTGTGGTGTTCAAGGGAAGAAAAAAGAATGTGTAGAATGCAGTTACACAGAAACGTTGAGCTCTTATTTGCTCTTTTCTGTGATAGGACACATTTTATTGGCGAATACTGCTGGTGTGATTTTTGTTTCTCCTGGAAATTAGATCTGTGGCAGCAGTATATTCTGCTTTCACATAGCCCCATTTATACGTCTGGATTCTGAAATATTTTTTAATGTAATGTTGGACTCAGGTCCTGAAAGGAGTGTCGGCGCGAGGAAGCTACCACTGACTCAATAATGCAAAAGCAAAAGGAAAGTTTATTAGCTAGTTCGAGCTAGGGTCTCCTTACACTGATGCAGCGGTTTGGGCAAAAGACCCCATGCTCTCCTACTATTACATTTTTATAGGAAAAATATAGTGTGGAGTAACATTAAGGCAAAGAGGTACAAATGATTGGTTGTTGCTAGGGGGTAGAGAAGGAGGGGGTTTGAGGTAAAGCCCTGAGGTGTGCGGGACGTGCTGGAGCCAGGTAAAGCTCTGAGGTGTGGGGGACTTGCTGGAATCCCCAGCATTAAAGACTCCTGGTTAGAGAATAACTACCTGGAGGGGAGATAAAGCCCTGAGGCATGGGGGACGTGCTGGAGCCAGGTAAAGCTCTGAGGCATGGGGGACGTGCTGGAATCCCCAGCACTAAAGACTCCTGGTTAAAGAATTACCTGGAGCGCATTAGGACTCAGGCCTCACATTCCTTAGGACTCAGGCCTCACATTCCCCCCTTTTTTCTTGTTACTCATATGAGGAATCTTCATCCCGTGTTACAGGAGATAGGGACTGATATTGTTGTCTCAGGACCATGAGTTGTACAGTATTAACTCAATCTTTCACAAATGATATAAGCTTATTTATAATGCAGGGGCCAAAAGTTAATAGAATTATAAGGATTTTGAAGGGTCCTAAGAGAGTAGATATCAAGGTAGTCAACCATGGGGAGTTATTAAACCAAGATTCGAACAACCCTTCCTGAGTTTCATGCTCCTTTTTTCTTAGGGCAAGTCCTTCTCGTACCCTGGCCATAGATTCCTGAACTACTCCCATATGATTGGCGTAAAAACAACACTCTTCCCCTAAAGCTGCACACAGTCCCCCTTGTTGAAGAAACAAAAGATCCAACCCCAGCCGGTTCTGCAGCATTACTTCTGATAGTGATGTTAAAGGTTTCTTTAAACGGGAGATAGAGGTTTCTATTCTTTCAAGGT